GGGGACATGGGGACAGCGGGGACACGGGGACAGCGGGGTCACCGGGACAGCAGGGACATGGGGGACATGGGGACAGCGGGGACACGGGGACATGGGGGACAGCGGGGACAGCGGGGTCACTGGGGACGGCAGGGACAAGGGGTCAGCGGGGACACGGGGACAGCGGTGGACAGTGGAGACACAGGGGACAGCAGGGACATCAGGGGACAGCGGGGTCACCGGGGACATCAGGGGACATGGGGGTCACCGGGGACATCAGGGGACATGGGGGTCACCAGGGGACAGAGACAGGGATGGGACAGGGACAGGAGGGGACAAACATGGTGATGGGACAGAAACAGAGGAATCAGGGACAGGAGAGGACAGGGATGGGGACAGGGACAGTGAGGACAGGAACAAGAGGGGACAGGGACAAGGATGGGACAGAGAGGACAGGGATGGGGACATGGATGGGGATGGGACAGGGATGGGGACAGGGTCACCATGGGGTCACTCCGGGCTTGGGGTCACCTCCAACCCGCTGGGAGAGCCCGGTCATCTGAGGTGCCGCGGTCACCCTTGGGTCACCTTTAGGGTGCCCTGGTCACCCTTGGGTCACCTTTGGGGTGCCCTGGTCACTTTTGGGTCACCTTTAGGGTGCCCTGGTCACACTTGGGACACCTTTGGGGTGCCCTGGTCACTTTTGGGTCACCTTTGGGGTGCCGCGGTCACCCTTGGGACACCTTTGGGGTGCCCTGGTCACCCTTGGGTCATCTTTGGGGTGCCCTGGTCACCCTTGGGACACCTTTGGGGTGCCCTGGTCACTTTTGGGGTGCCCTGAGCCCCTCCCGGGCGTGTCCCCGTCCCCGGCCGGGGGTGACACGGGACGGTCCCGCGGGTCCCGCCCTTCCCAAACCTCCCGGGACAGCCCCGGGACCCTCCCGTGAGGGGACAATCCCGGGACACTCCCGTGGGACCATCCCGGGACCCTCCGGGGCAGTCCCGGTACATTTCCAGGACACTCCCGGTACAATCCCGGGACCATCCCCGCCTCTCGGGACGCGCCCCCCGCCCCCAACTCCCCCCATTTCCCCTCCCCTCACCGCCCCCTCCCCTCACCGCGCCGCCCCCCGCCTCCGCCGCCCGCAGCGCCAGGCGGAAGCGGCGCCGCCCGTCGTTCCCCGGTTGCACGCTGAGCTGCAGGCGGAGCGCGGCGCCGGCGGCGGCGGGCAGGAGGCGGCAGGGCGCGGCCAGCTCGGCGCGGGCCGCCATCAGCACCGTGGGGGCGGCGGCCGGGCCCGGCCCGGGGGCTCCGGGCGCCGCCATGGCGGCCCCGCCACTTCCGGCCTCCCGCCCGCGCGGTCCGGCCGCCAGCCGGGTCCCCTCCGGGGGAGCGCCGGGAAACGCGGCCGCGCGCGCGGGAGTTCCGGGGAGGGGCGTTCCGCCGAGGCCACGCCTCCGGCCACGCCCCCCGCCCCGCCGTGATTGACAGGCGCTCCCCCCGTCTTTGTCCGCGCCGGCCAATGGGAGCGCCGAGCGCCCCCGCGGTGGGCGGGGCCGCGGGCTCTGCGCTGACTGACGTCGGTGTTGGCCGATGAAAGGCGAGCGCGGCGGTGATTGACGGGTATTCTCGCCAATGGGATCGCGGGCCGCGGGCGCCGCTCGGGCGGGGCGGGCGCGGGCGGGGCGGTGCCGCCGCTGTTGCCGTCCGGTGCCGCAGGAGAAGGTCGCCCGCTCGCCCGCTCGCTCCGGGGGATTCCCAGGATCTCGCTCGGCCGCTCGCGCCGTCTCCCGAGCACTCGGGGACATGTCGAGGTGGGCGGAGGCCCGGTGGGCCGGCGCCAGACGGCGGACGGCGGCCGCGGCGCACTCGCCCTCCTCGAGCTTTCCCCGGAGACGCCTCCCTTTACAAGCGCCCCGAGCCTGAAGGCGCTGCCACGGCGAGGAGGCACCGATAAAGGAGCAGGACGCGCCGGTAAGCCCGCTCGGCCCGCCGTCCCTCTTCTGTGCGCCCTAAAGCCGCGCGAACTACAGCTCCCGGCGTACCCCGCGCCGCCCAGGCGCGGCCTAGCGGCGCGCGGAGCCGCGGGGCAGGATGGGAGCAGTAGTCCGGCGATAGAGAGGCTGCGCCGCCCGCGCGGGGCGTGCCGGGAGGCGTAGTCCGCCGGTACATCGCTGCTATGCGCCGCGCGGGGCATGCCGGGAGCTGTAGTCCGGCGCGCGGGGCACGCCGGGAAGGCGCTTCCTGTGGCGCCGCCCGGGGCCGGGGGAGACTTTTCCGCGTCTTTTTCTTGTTCCTTTTCTTTGTTTTCCTTCTCCTTTTCTCCTCTTTTTCCCCTCTTTTCCTTCCTCCTCCCTCTCTGCGCCTCCCTCTCCGCCTGCCGCCTTTTCCCCCTTTGTGGTGCCGCTGCCAGCTCCACCTGAAGCTGTTCTCCCTCCTCCTCCGGTTCCTTTACTTCCTCTCTCCTTTCCCGTTTCTTTTCCCATTTCTGCTTTTTCCGTCGTTTCCTTCTCCTTCCTGCAGTTCTCTCCCTTCCTTCCCTTTCTCTCCTTCCCGGCATTCCCGCCCATTCCCGCTTTTCCCCGGGGGTGCCGGGGAATCGCCCCGGGCCCATCCCGGTGCCGTCCCTCACCTTCCCCGTTGGTTCCCGGGAGCAGCTGCGGCGCCGGGAGGGAATTCCGGGAACCCCCGGGAATTGTTCCGGGAATTCCCGGGAATTCCGGGAGGATGAAGCTGCTGGAGAACTCCAGCTTCGAGGCCATCAACTCCCAGCTGACCGTGGAGACCGGCGACGCCCACATCATCGGCAGGTCAGCGGGAATGGGCCGGGAAACCGGGAATGCTGGACCGGGAAAAGCCCCAGGAATCTGGGAATGCTGAACTGGGAAAGGCTCTGGGAAGGTGGGAATGAGGGACCGGGAAACCTGGGAATGCTGGACCGGGAAAAGCTCCGGGAAGCTGGGAATGATGGACCAGGAAAAGCCCTGGGAATCTGGGAATGCTGAACTAGGAAAAGCTCCGGGAGGCTGGGAATGCTGTCCCGGGAAAAGCCCTGGGAATGCTGCCCCCAGGAAAGGCTCTGGGAATCTGGGAATGCTGTCCTGGGAAAAGCTCTGGGAAGCCTGGGAATCTCGGAATTCTGTCCCTGAGGGTCTTGGGAATGCTGTCCCAGGAAAAGCCCTGGGAATCTGGGAATGATGAACCGGGAATTTGGGGATGCTGCCCCTGAGAAAGGCTCTGGGAATCTGGGAATGCTGTCCCAGGAAAAGCTCTGGGAATCTGGGAATGCTGCCCCAGGGAAGCAGGAATGCTGTCTCAGGAATCTGGGAATGCTGCCCTGGAAAAGCCTCGGGAATCTGGGAATGCTGTCCCCAGGAAATCTGGGACACTGGGAATCTGGGAATTCTGTCCCTGGGACACCAGGAATGCTGCCCCAGGAAAAGCTCCAGGAATCTGGGAATGCCATCCCTGGGAATCTGGGAATTCTGTAATGGGAATATGGGAATTCTGCCCTTGGGAATCTGGGAATTCTGTCCCTAGGAATTTGGGAATTTTGCCCCAAGAAAACTCCAGGAATTTGGGAGTTCTGTTCCCTTGAAACCCAGGAATCTGGGAATTCCACCCCACGAAACCTGGAATCTGGGAATGCTGCTCTGGGAATGGACATGGGGCTCTGGGATCCCCCAGGGAGGGCTCTGGGATCCCCAGGGTGTCTCTGGGATCCCCTGGGTGTCTCTGGGTGTCTCTGGGATCCCTGGGTGTCTCTGGGTGTCTCTGGGATCCCTGGGTGTCTCTGGGTGTCTCTGGGATCCCCTGGGTGTCTCTGGG